CAGGGATCCTGGTTTTCTCTGATTAAACTTGTCCATGGTTAAAATGAAACACCATTATATATATATATATATATATATATATACACACACACACACACACATGCACTAGTGGTGTTTCATTTTAATCATGGAAAAAATTGGGGTTTTGGGTTACTTTTTAAAACCGAAAATTGGGGATATTTTTTTATCAGAGAAAACCAGAATCCCTGCTAATTAGGCAGCTCCACAGTAAGCGTGTCATGTAGACATGCCCAGTACTGATTTGAACCCTGTTCTCCCAGTGCATCCTTTGTTTTGGACCCACTTAAGGCTCTGAAGCAATTCTTATATATTCCATATAAATGTCCTGTAGTGTGCAGTATTCATACTGCAGAACACCACGTCAGGACTTAAAGTATGCTGTCGCCGTGACACCTGACTTTTTCTTTATATTTCTTACCTATCAGTTATGAGGACAAAAACCAGGGTTCCCAAATATCAAGCAGGAAGTTAGGGGTCAGGTCTAGGAAGATATTTGGAAGTGTGTTACATTTTTTTCTAACCTGCATGTCTAAATCCTAAACCATCTTGGAGTCAAAACATTGAATCAGCTGACTGTCTTAGATTTTTTCCTTAATTTTCCATCCTCTATTTTTGCTTTTTTTCCTTGCTACATAATCTTTCCTCTTTCTGCAGAAATTTACTTCTGTTTTCTAAATCTCCCCTGCTATTTTGTCCTCACTCTCTCCTTCATTTCTCATGCTCTCATACCATGACATTGGATTCTCATTCCCTGCCCTTTGGCTCCCTCTTTACCTTTTTCAGTTGCTTTCCAAGTTTTATTCTGTTTTTTGTATAACCCATTAACAGCGTTCTTGATTGTGATGTTATAATAATAATGGCAGCAGCTAATACAGTAATATCTACATAATCAGGAAAAGATGGATGACAAGACTTTTGTCCTTACTGAAGCTAAGCTTTTTATTTTATGCTGTGAGTATGTACATTTTAAAAGTGTCTTTCATTTTATTCTTGTCTGCCTGTCCTCTCTGTTTGTCTAATCTTGTATCATGCCCATGCACTTCACTGAAAGTAATGTAGGATCTCTGGTTGGTTTGAACAAGCAACAGATTTTTCTTGTGTTATGTAAGAAAGAATGAGATTAACCCAGGTTCCTTCACGAAATCTTTAGGAACTGGGCAAGCAGGACTCAGGGTGGTGAGAAGCTGGTGGCAGAAGCTGGATGACTCCTGTTGTGTAACACAGATCCATCTCTTTCCACATTTTCCATGTACCTGCTTTGTTATCACTTTATGGGAGGGACTAATGGAAGGCTAGGCCCCCTAACCTTCCTGTTATACCTCTTACAAGGAAAATATGAGTCATGGCCATTTTTGTAGGAGAGTTGTGTGCTGGGGAAGGAAAAGCCTTCCCAAAATATTACCTGATGTGGATATGATTCAGATAAGCATCCAAACCTTAGTGGCATACTATAGTTAGAGTAACAGTATCCCTACTTGATTTGGGAAGCCTTTACAATCGAAGAAACCAATAAAACCCGTTTCTGATAGTCTGAATGAAAAGCAGTTTACAATATGTTGAAGATAGGAGCACAGGGATGGAGTAACACATGCTCTACTTAGAAATCATTTATATGACATGATGAGACTGTTAGCATAAGCCTGCCAAGTCAGATGGAATATTGCTACTTTTGTATAGCACTCCGCACCAACTGTTTGTGGCAAGAGCATGTTAAACTATTCCGTGGTAAATCTGAGTACATTTTGTAGCACTTTGTCATTGGCAAGAACACGTAGTCAGCCATCTGCCATTTAGCTCATGCTCGTACAGCTCATGTCAGCTGCAGAATTCCATGAGCCCGATGCCATCAACATCCAGAGGACAATAAATACTATTCAGCATTTTGCGTGCATTTGAGAATCACAGACAGACAAAGTTCCAGTCTTCACTGTTGCTTCCAGCTCTGTGTTGTGGTCTTTACAAATCCAGCTTGTCACTTCTAAAACCAGAATACTGGATTCTCTTTACAGCAACTGTTGTATTTCACCATCTGACATCAGCAGTACAAGTTTTAGAGTCCTGGCTGGTATGTTTTCAGAGTATACCCCAGATGGTGTGCACAAGATATAACCTCAGTTAGCTCAAATGTTATTGATAACTATACCAAGTGTGTCTGTGTACCATATGAAATCTTTATAAAGTTGTGGGCTGGAAATGTCAATCCTTAGGCTTGGTTACAATTTTTTTAAACTGGGAAAAGTTGGGGAGGGGTTTCCCCTTTGAAATTATAACTTGCACAACAAAATACATGTTTACTTCTGAAGAGACACTGCTAGTGAGATGCTGTGCTTTCCTTTTTTGTGTCCTTGTGGCAAAGTATTTAGCAGAATTTGCCAGTTCATTGGACTCTGACAGGCTGTGCCATGAGCACTTCTGCTATGGATTCAAACGTGCAATGTCTGGAGTGTCAGCTGTGTGCCTTAGCACCTGTGCCACCCCAGGCCCAGTGCATTTGCTTACTTGAAGGACAAGGGCAGTGATGACCACTTATTTTCTGTCTTTAAGATTTTCTTCTGCTGCTTTCCACCTAACTAGATCAAAAACATGAAGCACTTTCATACTTAAACTTCATTTTTAGAAAATCAGAATCCTTTTTACAGTGGTTCTGCTGCTGGAGGAAACACTTGCAGAACTCCAGCTCTAATTACAGCATTTCTGAAGGCTGCATACATGCACACACACACACCCTTGCTCTCTCATTTACACACAAGAAACTACACCATTACTGCACAAGACTGAGAAACAAATAAGAAGCATAGTGGCAGTTGAGCCACAGACTCAGTGATATTGTATTTTGATGGCCTGCTGGTGTACTAGAATAAGTCAAGTGGGGCACATCTACCTGTGCCTATTAACATGCAGGAATAAGAAAGATAAAATCATTGAAAATCAGGGTTGGAAGGGACCTCAGGAAGTCATCTAGTTGACCCCCTGCTCAAAGCAGGTCCAGATCTTATTGCTCTGAAGCCTTTTGCTGCTGGGTGCGCATCTGTACGTGCACCCAGACTGCAGCATATTGAGCTAGGTCACAGCAGTCCCAGCTGACAGAGGGCTTGGGGGCTCATCCTACCAACCCAGGGCTACTCCAACCAGGTTCAGTGTGCTGTGGAGGGGCTGGCTAGGGCATGAGGGTGCTTCAGTGTGGGGCTAGCCAGCAGGCAGCCCCCACATTGAAGCACCCTCATGCCCCAGCCAGCTGGGTCAGTCTCTATGTGTGCAGTGCTGCACATGAAAAAACTCTGCAGTTTATTAGTTTCATGCACCCTCATAGGGATACACATGGAGACACTGAGATGTTTACTGCAGAGCTAATTAGGCAACTGCAGTAAACATCTCATGTAGACGCACCCATGTAGTACCAATTTGTCATAACTAAAGTAGTATTCTGCAACCTCTTCAGGATTCCAGAGACCAAAATCTGAACAAAACATCAATAGACATGTGAGGGATAAAGGTGCCTTATGAATCTCCTAGTTTCGATTTTTTTTAAATAACCTAAACTCTACATTTTTTCCGTGATCAAAACAAAATACCACTTTATATATTTGTTTCTCACTATATATATATATACTATATATTTGCTTTGCCACTCTATATACTTCTTATTTGTTTCTCACAATATATATAGTGGCATTGCATTTTGATCATGGAAAAATGTGGAGTTCACGTTACTTTTTTAAAGCGAAGATTGGGGATTTTTTAAATCAGAGAAAACCAGGATCCCTGCTTATGAAGAAACGATTGTTCTCAAAATGGTTTCTAGCTCATAGTCCTGCTGTAACTGACTGGTTTAGGAAATGCACTGTCCCCAGTAATTTTAAAAATTCAAATGTGGTTCACTGCTGGAATGCCTAGAACCATGCATTCATGGCACATGTACACAAAAATAGCTCAGATTGCCTTCCTTCTTCAGTTTTCAATATGTGCTAGGTTCCTGGAACCAGGAAGTCCCCAAGGTGTGCTGGTATGGTGATGAAACCAGGGAAATTGAGGTTTAAAAAGGGTTGTGGGAATGAGGTTTCGTCAGATAAAAATGTTTATAAATACATAAAATCCAAATGTTTTGAAATGTTTTATTGGTGTTGCACTGCGTTACAAAGAACTGGTAGAACATAGCGTATTTTACCTTCTTACAGTAAAAACAAAACAAAACAATGCTAGGAGTTTCCAGACCAGGTGGGGTTGACCTAGCAGTGCTCCCCTCTAAATAAGCTGGAGTTTTACTGTTAGCTTCAGTGGAAGCAGTACTAAACCTAAGACTGTCCATTCTTGAAAATCCCACTCTAAGTCTGTTAACTTACGTGTGAAAAATACATCTCATTGGAAATGAACTTGCACAGTCAAGAAGAAAAAGGGATTGCAGATTGACCTCCTAAAGTTTCTTTCATAATTCTAGGTTATGGAACTTAGCAAAGTACTAGCAAATGTCCTGTTACACTGTGTGCAAAGATGCTGAAGCCTTCCTTATGTGAGACTTCCCTTTACCAGCTGCTAAAGTTACTTTAGCATGGTTGCTGAAAAATGTCTTCTATTTTGGGAGCAAGTGTAGAATGATGTAGTGCAAACTAACAAAAGTGATAGTTTGCACTATACATGCACTACATAGCCTTACAAAAAAAGATAATGCTCACATGATATTCTTTGTCCTGGGATTGGTTCACAAACATTAACTAATAATCCTCACAACAAGGTAAGATCAGTGTCATTGCCTTAATCCTGTTGATACTCTTAGTCATGTAAATCCCATAGGACTGAAAAATCTGGATCCAAAAAAAGCCTTTTCTTCTATTCAGCAAAATCAGAAAAGGTCAGTTTTCTAATTTCACTTGAAAATACCCCTGGGCAGGGGGAAGTTGGGAGAAACAAAGGGATGTGGACTAACTGTGAACAACCCAATAGAAAGTCACAACCTATTCCTTTCTTTTTTTTGTCTATCCCAGGCGAAAAACCATACAAATGTACCTGGGAAGGTTGCACCTGGAAGTTTGCTCGCTCAGATGAACTGACGAGGCATTACCGCAAACACACAGGAGTGAAGCCATTCAAGTGTGCAGACTGTGACCGCAGCTTTTCCCGATCAGATCACTTGGCGCTACATCGCCGGAGGCACATGCTGGTTTGAGATGTGCTACTTGTCAAGCAGAATATAAGAGCTGGGTCTCTTAACTACAATGAATTCAGCAGGGCTGGATCCCCTTCTACAGTGTTACAAAGGGCATTCCAAGATGTCCACAATAATAAAAAAAAAAAGCAGGAAAAGAAGTGCCACTCTTCTCCTTTCCATCTGAAATTAAAACCCATTCCCATCCCCAGCATGGCTACCCACCTACCTCCCCCACAAATGTCATCACAGTATCCTGGGAGATAGCAAGCTAAATGCTGCAAGAATGGGCATTATTTTCCATGCTGTGTCCTTTAATAATGTTTATAGCCTGTACATTTTCTCAGCTGTTGGACATTTTATCCTTGAGAATTACTGCCGGTTTGAAGATCAGATACCACAAACCGATGATGAGAGCAAGACTTCATTATTATCCCATCCTTTCCCCCTTTTTTGAGTACTGCCTAATCCGTATAGAAAATACACCTCATCTCTGCTACAGAACAGCAGCTTGAGAGTAGACAAGAAGATTGTGTTGGAGAGGTTCCACTGTCTGAAGTGAAGGGGCACTTAAGCAGACTTTTGCAATAATGATGGTGGCATTTAAATATTTTACTACATTTTGTCATTATGCCCTGAAAGACACCAAACATTTCCTTTCCTTTCCTTTCCTTTCCTTTCCTTTCCTTGTTTTTCTCTTTTTTTGTGGTCTGTAAAACAAATGGGTGCAACGGCATTTCAGGTCAAGTACAATATAAGTAACTGTGCTCTACTATAGACTTGTTTAGTACTATTTTCTGGTTTGTATAAAAAGAGCCTGCTTACACATTTCTGTTTTCAAAGTGCAGTTTTCTGTCACAGGAATCTTGCTGTCCTATATCCTAGTGTTTTATTAAGGAATTAGTGAAACAAATTTATACATGCTGGCACCGTGGCATAACTGTCCACAAAATACAACTGAATGTACAAATGAGACAAAACGTAGAAGCATTACAATGGCAGAGAAAAGCAATAATGAATAAAATGGCTTTCAAGACAATAACATACTGGAGTCTTGCAAAATTCAACCTTCATACCACTAAGGGGGCTGTACAAAAATAAGACATTAGATTTCTTGTGTTGACAGCTTATGTTAGTCTTTTTGATATTTTTGATCTGCCAGGTACCACAGTTAAATATATCAATTTCTATCTAATGTAACAGCTGCTTTGTGGTTGAAAAGGTGGTTTAGATACAAGAGTGGGTAAGCCTTTATTGTTGATGGGTCAATGGATGCATAAACAGAGAGGATGTGCTGTCAAGAAGATGATCTGTAGTGTACTAGTTTCCTCCTTTGGAGGTTGAAAATAAAGAGGCATGAGCCTGCCCTTCAGTGCAACATAAACAGCTGTTCGTATGGGCTCCAGTGGCTATCTCTGCAGAGATTTTCAGCTCAAACCTCCTTTGTTTAAGTGAAAGCAGATTGCTTATCATTCCCATCCAGCCCAATAATTGTGAACCAATTGGTATTAGTTAAATTATATGGTCAAGGAAGGAATTCTTAGCCAACAGTTTTTCTTTAAAATGGAACAGTATTTTTCCTCCTTCTTCATAAGGATCTGCTTATTCAGCTAAATGTTACAAGAGGATTGGTGAGATTTTGTATTTGCTGACATTTTTATAGTTTAGAGAGAAAAGTTATATACATAAAGAGCTTTTGTAATACATTTAATTATGAATACTCAGTTCCAGGAACTGTACAGATTAAACTCGCAATGCCACAGGTTCATTTTTAAATGTTTGCCCAATCTGAATTAATTTCTGATTCATGGTATCATGTTAAGGGGATTCGAAACCAAAATTATCTTTAAGAAAAGCCAGTAAATACTGAATAAGCTGTGATTACAAACACTAAAACAATGACAGTTAATGGAAGACGATTATTTATGGAGACACTTTTATATAAATACCCAGCAGGCCCACAATTTGTTCATCCCTGTACACATTTTTAAATGTTCCCCTGATAGGGAACAGTTGAACAGCCCTTTAAATTAAGGACTGCAGGCCTGTTAAAACACCAGCTTCCCAACTGAGTGACAAACTCCACAACCCAAGGAAAAGTATGTACTACCAGTATCTAACTGCCTCTTTCACTTCTCATTCCCCTGTCCTATTCTTATATCAGGCAGGTCACCAAAATCCATGACAAAAACAGCATTTTAGTACCTAGCTTGCTCATAACAAGCAGTGCAGATAATATTGAGAGTAAAAGGGATAGTATCACAAGCTAAGAGATTTCCATAAGGCTGAATTTACCAAATCTGGTGGGCTTATGCTGTACCATAGTCAAATCAGGCATTACATTCATACCCCACTTCCTCAGCAGCCACTACAGATTTCCCCCACCCCCCATTTCCTTTACCAGTGGCAGTCAGTGGCAGGGGAAGTGGTGATGGCAGCTGAAGTAGGAAGGTGTGAGAGTGGCTGAAGCAGAAGGATACTGCCAGTTGGCAATGTAATTTGCACATGCTCACCCTGGAAACTTTCACACCCCATGCAGGACATATCCCACAGTTTGGGACACACTTCCCTGGCCATTGGATTGAGCTGTTGTGATGTCATCCATCTGCAAACTGAGATTTTAGCAACGGTTCTCATTTAAAGATCAGATGTCATCCATAGGGTTTGCACATTATTTGTGGGAATTACCTGTATAGAAATCACAATTGTCCTTTTAAAGATATCAGTCATTCGAAAATCTAAAGCATACAAGCACAAATCAAAGTATGAGATTATCTTTAATACCCAAGAATATTATAATTGGAAATTAATCGGGTCTTCGTAACAAAGCATAAAAATGCAGAATTTATTGTGGGCACATTTTACTTGATGCCTACAGCATCCCCTTTACAAATAACAGCATTTTCCATTTTTAAGTTTACTTCACCAGAAGAAGACAGTTGGGAAAGTCTGGGTAAGTTTCAGGAATGGCAGTGAGGGCTTTCATCTTTTCTCTCATCCAGTTGCCTACACATCTATATATTAGAAATGCTGCAACAAATATTGGAAAGAGGATCTGGTTCTACTCTACCAGTTTAAAACAGGGGTAAAGCCATTAAAATCAGAGAAGACACACATGTATAAAACTTATCAGTCAGAGACAAAGAGTTATATACTGAAGATTTCTGACAATCCCCTTTGAAACAGTCCTCAAAGAGAATACTTAGGCTCAATGTTTACAGCGCACACCTGAAAGAGCTTTTCATGTTATTATTGCATCTAGACAGCATATACAGACAATGTACAGACATTCAGTTTCTACTGGGAGAGTCACTGCCTTCCCAGTAGAAATCACAAGTGTACACATGTTCAAGATTTTTCTCCCAGAGCAAAAATGGTTACTCTGAGAGAAAAATAACCCAGGAACAATCAGGGTTAAATCACCCCAGGAGGGTTTCTCCTGGGAAAGCAAATGCCTGTATATATTCATTTCAGAGAGAAGCCACAACAAGGTCCTTCAGCATCTCAGGGTGCTTTGGTTCTGTCCTTCCCTCCTTCCCAGAAGACTGTATGTCACTTGGACTGGATTTTACTGCTCCAGCCAAGCAGAGAGCAGAATATGCCTCCTTCACAATCCCCTCATTTTGCTGCAGGGATACAGGGGCTAAGCCAGAGCAGTCTGGGGCAGTCAGTTAGGGCTGCCTTATGCATTTCTACCATCTGTCTCTGGGCAGATTGAGGGAGCCTGCAGAGGATGCTGAAATGTGTGCACAGGGGCCCTTGGCTAAGCAACATCCACACTGCAAGGTCTCTCCTCTTCAGGGCCTCAGCATTAACATTTTTATTTGGTTACATTTTCTACTAGGAAAATGAACACGGGAGAATTCTACTAAATCATTTGAACGTGTGTACATAGCCGCTGATAGCTACAGTCTACTATTGGACTTGCAGGCACCACTGAAGTTATTGAAGAGCTTCAGGTGTATGAATGCTTAGAATTCAGCCCATTATGTTAAGTTAGGTAATTTTCTTTAATGCTCTTTTGTTCTTCTGAAACCATTTAAGAAGTTATTTTGTAAAGAGAAAAAGCTAGCCCATAGTGTTCAGATCTAGGCCCGAGCTTACACAGTTTTTAGGAGTGATCTCAGGTCAATGGCTTTGATACAGACCTACCTGCAACCTTTAAGAATTATGCAAAGACCTGAGACTCCCTCCAGTATTTCCCTCGATAACCTTTGCATTATGAATATAACCAGAGATTTTTCTATGTGGAAAGCTTACATTGTAACCAGCAGGCAGAAGTATGTGGTCTCATCTTTATATAGCACAGATATGACTCACATAAACAGCTGAAAAATACAAATAGGCACCATCCCATTCTTTCAGTGAAGCAAAGATTTATGCTCTTAAATTTGAATAAATGGGAGATAGGAAGTTAACTGTAGGCATTGCAGCTTAGATGTGCAGCTAATGCTGCGAAGCACCAGACTTCAAGTGACTTTACAAGGATGTTGGTCTGGTCAGTAAGGCCCAGTAGAAAACAGTATATGAAAATATAATGAGCAGATGTTTTATTTGAAATAAAGATTTTTTAAACACCCATATGATGCAGCACTTTGAAATCAGCTCATTGTAGTGGCAGTTTATACAGGGGATGAAGATGCAGTACTCCTTATTCTCTACTTTATTTATTATACTTACACAGTTAAATAGATTTAGACTAACATGTATATAAAAGATTCTTAGCTCAAATAATGTTTAACAAAATTAACAGTGTTAAAATGGTATCAGTGATATTGGAATTTGGGGTAAATTGACTTTGTGGATCTTGGACAAATAGCTGGGCAACATCCTAGGAGTAGAAATGAGAATAACAACCACCATAAGGCTCATTTTCTATTAGCTGCATTGAAAATGTACCCCTAGTTGTCATTTATAAACATATCTTCTGATAATAAATGCTCTTTAATGGAAATATTCTTCTGCTGCCTTATTGAGAGTGGGTGCCTCAAAATGTGAATATATTTGCTCCTATTAATATCCCATTAACTTTTTGTTATTTGGGTTTTTTTTTTAAAAGAGGTCAATTAGTAGAGTGTGTCTTCCACAGAGTTAGCATATACTGGTAGCTACCACTCAGCTATTCCTCCCCACTCTGACATGCTCATATATACATACCTGCATAGATACCTTTACACATGTTGATATGCCTCATCACATGTGTGCCCAGAAACAAGAATTTAACCATGATTTAACAATACAGAGAATTGGAATTGGAAATTACTAATACTGTAAAAGAAAATATCACATTATTAAGAAACCAACTTGTATTGCTGTATTATGACTTTGCCTGTGTTTTATAATGAAGATGTATATAAAAAAATTAAAAACTGTTATATTTTCACAGTTTCATTATAGAGTAACAGTAACTGTGCAATGTATGCTTAGCAAATCATGCCCATTGGTACTTTTAAATATGTAAAAATCTAATCAATTTCAGTAGTAATTCAATTTTTAGTATGAAACCAACTATAAGGATACTGCATCTTTAAAAACAAAATAGAACAAAGGTATTTTACTGTACTTGTAACAGTTTAAATATTCTGTAATATATGTGATAGTGGGAAAGTATTTTCAAACTCACAATTTTTCACAGGTTGTAAATAGTTGAAATGAAGTACATTTTAAAAACAAATCTTTTAGTTTTCATCCAAAAAGCCCTGCTCAGATAATGCCTTGTAAGGAATGAAACTGTTCCATTTTGTTAGAGCATGGTCTGTCTGTGCAAAATGGAGTGGCCACTCATCCTGGTTTATTAATAGTGGTGTCAGATGCAGTAAAGTCATTTTGAGTCCTTGGGAACTGAATTAGTTAAAACTCAAAATGCCTGAATCTGAAGAAAATAAAACAAAACTACTATAAAGGATTTTCTCTGTGTGTGATGACTGAAGTGTACTAAAGATACAGTACCAACAGACTCATTTAATTTGTTCTTATATTCCCCCAGCTAAAATGTATTTTGATCAAAACTTTGCAGAACTAAAACAGGTGGTTACTTTTTGCTGATTCCAGGGGAATTTAGTCTTTTAGAAAAAGTTGCATGTCTGGAAAACAAAGTGCTATTGGATGGTTTGTTCTGGCATTAGAATGCACATATGATTGCAAAAAGGATAACATAAAATCCATTAAAAAGAAACAGAAACTGAAAGTGCCTGTTCATAACCATTAGAACCTGTTGGGATGTTCCTATACTTTTACACAGCAATAACTTCAATTCAGTCCTTATAGGATTCTGTTATCAATAAGACAAAAAAATAGAATTACACTTGGACTACAGTAATGCAACATAGAACCAAACACAAAGTGCCATTTATCTTTTCACTTTCCAAGATATTGTGCTAGAGTTTTTTGTCATTTTCTCTGATATCGTCTTTCACATTGGGGGAAAAAAAAACTGAATCTTAATTTACAAGTGACTCATTTGTTTGTCAGTTCTAAGTGGGAATAAGTGAAGGTCATTGCCAAGCAATGTGTTGGGGGTTCCCCACTTATGTCTGATTTGCCTGTGAGTCATCCAGGCATTCAGGGTATTCTCTAGTGTATTAATCTGGAAAACAGCAATAAGCTTCACTGTAACCCTAGCCACTGTTTCTAGAAAAAAACAGTATGATGTATTGTTCTTCAGTGCAAATACCTTTGAAGATTCTCTCCATTGACTTTGAACTCTTGAAATTTAGATTTCATGCATTGCTTATGACTCCCGTTTTGACCCCTTGCATAACGACTCTTTTTTGACCTGTTTAGAATTACCAGAAAACTCATTGAAATATTTCAACAGTGGACAAAAAATGGTCACGCTGGGGGGAGAGGGGGGTGGTCTTCTTTTTTCCTTTTTCTGATATGTGGTTGGAAGCCTAGAGCATTTTTTAATAAGAAGCCAGAGGCAAGACTGATACTTGCAAGCTGAACTAGAGAACAGCAGACAAGGTTCTTTGGGTAAATCTGATATCTTTTATTAGACCCACTCAAATCTTAGTAGGTCTAATAAAAGATATCAGATTTACCCAAAGAACCTTGTCTGCCTATGTCCTTAGACTAACATGGCTACAACCTACACCCCTGGAACTAGAGAAAGCTTTTTTCAGGTTGAATAACCTTACCAATTATATGGCCTTCAGAATTGTATAATAGACTATTACTTTTATATTGATTACCTATAACCCAAGGTGGGGAGGGGTGTCCTTTTTTTCAACTTGCTAGGTTTCTGACAGAAAACTGAAAGAATTGAACTTTTCAGATATCATGGTGATGTCATTTCTCATTAGGTTTTTTCTGTTTCTTAAAATAAATCTACAGATAATCCAAATTTAAATAGGCTCCCCTAATAGCCCTACGAAGTATGATAGAATACTGCTTTCTGTGTTTCAACAAAAGATATAGCAATTTTTAAAGGAGTTTCTAATTTAGCTGCAGTTTGCCCACACACTATTTGTGCATGCAAAGCTCCACATTTGGGTTTGCTCCAGGAAGGAGCAAACCCAAATGTGCACAAAAAAGCACAAAATATATTATATGTGCACAAAATAGCTTGCTAACAGAAAAACTGCAGGTGCTTTTGAAAATGCAGGCCTGTGTGTGCATAAACTACTGTTGATGTTAGCAGGTGTCAATTAATCATATTTAACGACCATTAGTTTAGTATCAAATTATGGTTAAGCATATTAAACATCAGTGCAAATAATCACATTGTGATATGCATATATTTACTCAATCATCCTGAACTTAATCTCAGGCATTAAGCACATAAAAGAACTCAGCCTATGCTGGGAATCCTAGAAGAACACCAGGGAATGTGGGATCAACAGGACAAAAGAAAACAGGTTCTTTTTAGTGCACTAGATGTTTTTTGGTTTTGTTTTGGAAAGAGGATCTCACAGAAATCTCTGTTGTTAAGGGAACTGTTTTACTCCAGCATGGTGTCTGTTAGTTTTCCTTTTTTCAAAAGAAAAGTAGTGCAGTCTATTATCCAAAAGCCTGCAATACATTCTTGCTTCATTCTAAAACAAGTAGACATGCTTTAGCTGTGTTTGTTACAGATGTGTCTCTGTAACAGTGCTGTGTTGCAAGGTTTCGAATCATTAAAAACTGGATTACTGTTGTATTAAGGACATAATCTTGCATTGTTCAGCATAGGCAACAATTCAGTGGGAATTTTGACGGTTAAATATAGAATTGAGCTCTTAGTAACAGAAATGATCTGGGATACTGATATCTGTGTTTTGTGACCCCAACATTTTCTACAGTTCATTCTGTCAAAAACTTCAGTGAACGAAATTCTAATGTGTATAACAATTCTTTATGTTTCTGGATAATCTGCTTCACAAGACCTACTTTTATATGCTGTGAACCCTTCATTTAAAAGAAGACATATGGTCTGTATGGGGTCACGCTAGAATACAGTGCAAATGTTATAGACTATTATTTGATAAAGGCATGAGCCAGTACATTTGGAATCAGATTAAAGATACCAGCCAACCATCTCCAAATTCTTAACACTGGATTTAGCTATAGGGTATATGGAAAGATAGACTGGAGCCACAATCCTTACATCAGAGATATACTTTAAGAAAAAGCAGACAGGCATTATTTTTCGTTCTAGTCCTGGCCCTTTTCTAAGTACTAATTTTCTAAGAACAGTATTTTCCCCTTTAGTGCTATACATCACTTCCTTTTTAATCTAAACTCTCTGGAGAACATCTACACAATATCCTCCCTTGGCTAATTGTCTGTCTGTGAAAACCTATATCCACAACAGAACATACACAGATATATTTGTAAATTGTTTAAAACATTGGACACCACCAAACATAAAGACTTCAACCCACAAACAACCCACGCTCTAAGTGACTGAGAGGTTTGGACACTGCTATCTACATGTGAGGTCATAATTAATATTGAATTCGAAAAGTTCTCTCAGCTGTGTTTATGAAGAAAAAAAAGAATAATGAAAAATACCCATCTTGGCTAAGCCAAATGTGGATAGAGCATATTCTATCCATGCCATTAGTAAGATATAATGGTAAGGCCAGGGTTGAATTTGGTCAGGTATTTTTCCCTTCAGTTAGATCATTATTTTTGTACATATCAATAATTGTTCATATGACCCTCCTGTGTAAAAATACAAAAACATCCCTCATTTTACAAAGCTACTGACTTGGGACTGAAGCTTCACAGCAGTGGAATTAGTATGTACAGCACCTGATTCTCTTTCCTATGATAAGATATGAAAGGCTCATTAGCTGTAACCCCATAGAGATAAGAGTGTCAATAGAGGTCCTACACTTACTTAAAAGTACCCATGCTAGCAAGCAAATGTATTAGTTCCTTAAATCTTTCTTTGGCTTTCTTTTCAAAAAGTTTTACATGCAAAACATTACTTTTCTCCAAGAAAAAAAATATCATCCGAAGATCTAATCTCCCAATAGTTTCCTCTGCATTTATATACTATGTCGTGTTTAGGCAACACCTATGTTATAAGTTTATTAATACTATGTAAGTGTTGTTCTTGTATTTTTGTATAGTGTATGTATTGTAAATATACTCAGAGCTTTTTTTCCTCTTACTGTAAAATGGTGATTTTTGCCCTATGATAATGTAAAGGGAGTCCCCTAATGACATTCTGTCAGAGGATGAGTATTCCAGTCTATTCTCAAAGATTTAAATGAACAAGTGTTACCGTTTTTAATGGTGTCTCAGACATATTTTGTTGGTGCATTGCTTTTCTGTATTCACCTTTCCTATGAATTGAGCTGTGAACTGAAATAGAGTTTAAACCTTTAAATGTATGCATTTGTACAATTATCTGAATGGAGGCATGAAGGTTAAATAAAGCATTTTGTATGGAACAAACCTCCTAATTATTACTGTGGATGACTCGGACCTTCTGGAATACACAAGCATTTGCTTTTTAAATTAAACCTTTATTACAAAAATCTTTTTCTAGAAAAATATAGTGATTTTTAATAGAATGTTTTCTTAAGAAATGGATTTTACTTGCTTTTCTGAAATTTACCATACAGGACAGATTTCTTTTTTTAATCTGCATAACACTGGAGCAGAGCAATGAATGCCGTTTAGCAGTGAAAACTAGGAAGTTTTAGGATCATTAGTTGCTTAAACATGGACATTTTTCTACAGATGTTCTCAAATGCATCTATAAATAGCTGTGTGTGTTACTTTTTAACAATTTGTTCAATATTTTCTATTAAGGTGCTGGAGTTTTCATAATTATATGGACTCTAAATACTGCCTATGTATTTTAAAATAGAAATGGCTGTGCATCTCTCTCTCTGTCTCTCTTTCTCTCTCCCCCTGCTTCCCACTCCCTATCTTTGTGCCTTTCCATCATGTAAAAGAAACAAGTTAATTTTAAGGTTTCCTTAGCTCTGGGTTTATGAGAGTAGGTGCTTTTTACAGGTGGCTGCAGAGGCATAAATCCCAGACTCTGCACCCAGGCCAGAAAGGGTTGGGCTGGCCGCTGCAGTGGCAGCAGCTGCCCTTCTTGCACCCCCCTGAAGTAGGCCCCCAGTGCTGGTGCCCCAGTGTACTACCAAGTGGCTGGGTGAGTATGTGAGTGAGAAAAACAGGTATTGAAAGAAAGCTGTGGTAAATCAGAGAAATGTTTTCTTCATTTTGTTTATAAATTGGTGAGTTTTGTGAGTGATCCATAGTCCACTGTTTTTCCTTTGAAAGCTGGTGTTTCCTGCACTCTTAGTCTCATTCTACTACCTGATTCTTCTATCATACCAGTGGAACATTAGGAAATATTTACAGTCTCTCAGCTGAATTTGAGCTATTCCCTGAGCATGGTTGTGAATATCAGGCCAAGGACGTTGTGCTGGACTCTTCATTTGCTGGTGATTTTTATTCCCAAATGTGAGTTATTCCATTTCCTTTACATTATTTCCATTTGTTCATTCTTAAATGGTACAATTATTTATCTAATTGAAACCAGAACATTAAGTAATTAAGGTACAGAAATATTTAAACAATATCCTTAGATATTGAGAACTCTGGGATTTATCAAAGATATGGCAAAACTGAATCCATATCCTGTAGAATGTATTTTGAATCTCTTAAATCACTGCTGTTTAAGGATTATATAATGCTAACACATGCACGCACACACATGCACACAAATTGCTCTTGCTTTCCACATAATAGTTGTTTGTTCTCTTTCAATACTTTGCCTGGTTTCAATATCTTTTTTTCCCCATAGTGCTATAAATATAGGAATACATCACTTCCTGTTTAGTCTAAGATCTCCAATGAACGCCTACACAGTATTCTCACATGACCTGTTGTCTCTTCCCAAAAAAATTCTTCCATTTTCAAGAACAATAGCATAGTTGTCGTCTAGTTTTTTCCAATTTGTTTTTTGGCTCAACATGATATTTGAAGGGTTGAGTCTATTTATGCTAATTAATATACAGTATGCAACTTTTCCAGAGTTATTTACCATTAACATGAGTGGTCACTAGAAATCACCTTCAGCTTTGAGCATGTCACTAAAAATGAACCCCACATTAAATGATAGATAGACAGAATAGATAAGCAGCATTCTTGAGCCTTGTGATCCTTTCTGTCAAATAAGCCTGTTTTCAATCTAACCTACATTTTTGGATTTATGATATGATTGTGATGTGCAGGGTGAGGTAGATATAAAGAAGTGGACCTAGGCTTACATAATCTCTTAGGGCTTCTATAGATGTGTGGAGAGCCTGCTCTGATGTGCTGGAAATCCAGCGCGTCAGAGCAGACTCGATCAATTGAGTCTGCTGGAGCACAGAAATTGATGTGCAGCCTTCTGCATCACGTGTATGTGTCCCCATGCATCCCCCATGCTGGAAAAATGGAGGCGCGGCACTTTGAAATAAAACACATTCAATGAGCTTTAGTTCAAAGTGCCCAGCTGCCATTTTTTCAGCTCAGGGATGTACAGGGATGCCGATACACGTGATGCATGCATGCTTTTTATTAGTGTGGCTTGCTAATTAAAGTGCCCGGTGCTGC